GACTTGGACCTTGATCTGCTAAGGGAGTGCCAGAACAATGAATGCGTATTGTCTTAAGTTCTAGCTTCCTGCTTTCATTTTGACCTGAAACTTTATCCTTGATTGTACGGGAGCTGACTTAAAAACAACAAACAAACAAACAAACAAACCACCTCACTGAAAATCCAGGAACATTTCATTGAAAAGTTAACTAATTTAACCGGAAGGAAAAGCTTCATCATTCTTGGAAATTGTTGAAGAGGGGCAGACTGAATATTGATCTCATGGAAAACTGTGCAGTGGCTTTGTTTGTGGTAGCAATAGCCTAAAAGCCAAGCCAGTGATAATTCTGAGCACAAGTGATCATGCATTGCAGTTGTGTAGTGCAGCCCCCCCCAAAAAACTCCATGCTTCTAGCCATGAATGTTGTCTTAATGGAGCTGAGAATGAGTGCCTGATTGAGTCCTAGCAATGGAAGCTACCAGAATATTCAAGCGAGAGGCTTGTTGGTATTCTGATCTGCCCATTCCAAGACGTAGCTTTGATTTTGTTTGATCATGCACTTAATCACAACTCATAAAATACATTTGCTTACTTGCACTGCTTTTACAGCTAGGATTTGTCACCGGCCTGTGTGTGCTTATCTCCTACATCTGTGAGTTTCACCTTCCTGCTGCTGTAAAACAGTGTGAGGAAAGGCATGTGAACACACAGAACTTCATGATCAGGTGGCTGTGCTTCCAGATCCTCAAACGTTAGGTTCCAGTTCTAAACACTTCTTTCAAATATCTTTGCAAATATCTTAGCTAAGTAGGAGGAGCACTTGCTTTACTTTTTAAGAAAAGTCACTGGACCGGTCTTCTGAATGCAGAGTTCTCCCAGAACATATTTTAAAATAATTCCCAACTTCTGAGTGTTAATTGTGGCAGTGTAATACAGCTTTTTGCTGAAGTATGGATACTGAAGATGCCTTGAGCATAGCATTCAAGTACAGTGAGCTGCCTGGAGCACTTCCAGGCTGCTTTCCCGCTTGTAGGGGCACACCCTTTTCTTTCAGATCTCTGCTGTGTCCCTTGGTACAGGCTGTGCAAACAGAGCTGGTGGGTTTGAGTAAACATGGTGACTGTGTGGGTGAAAGCATCCAGTTTCAGATGGAACACCAGGAAAAGCGTCATATTGCTGTCAGCCTTTTAAGTGTAATACATTTGAACTGGCTTGCATTCTTGAAGCAGTTTGGGATCTTGCAGCTTGATTTATTTATATTAATTCATATTGTTTTGACTCTTATTTACCCAACACTGAACTAGCAGACACTTGGTGTCTGTCCCCTGTACTTCTATAGCACATGTTCAAACCTTCCCAGGCCAGCAGCACTCCATGTAGATAAATAGAAGCTGCAAGATCTTTGCTCTGAGTCCTACTTCGTATGTTGTAGTGTGTGCTGAATCTGGGGCCACCCGAAGATGGACAGTGCTCTTCTTAGAAGAGTCTGCTTTCCAAGCTGGCTTCCTTTTTTTCCAAAGCATTGCTTCTGTTCCCTTAAGGTTTTATATATCTGTTGTGGAAAGGAAAAGCCTAAGAGGTCTGGTAACTAAATTCAGAGTTCGGTAGTAGTATTTAGTTTAGAGAATTCCCTGACTCTTTCAGTTCATCAGGAGCAATGTATTCTTGGAAAGATGTAGTTTGGAAAGGCAGTTGTTTTGTCTATGGCAGCTCTTAAGTCAGAAGAACTTCTCACCATCTGGAAGCTCATAGACCCAGTTAACATATTTAAGTGCCTACTATTCTTAAGATACAGAATCTTAATTTTTGAGAGCTAACTTTCTATAACAGATTTTGTTATACACTATTTTTAAGCCTTAGGAAGTAGTCTTGTTTTTATGGAAGTTACTTTTAAACTCCAAATGTCTATACAAAGCAGAACCAACCTTGAATCTAGTGTAGTTGATATTGAAAATATTGATTGCTGAAGTGAAAAGCTGCTTTAAAAATAGTTGCATCAATGGTATGTTTTTGTGAATGTTCTCATTATGTGGGAACCTGGACTGAGCAGATTTCTATTAGTACACGTGCACATACTCATATTCGGCTTAAACAATTTCTTGATTTTTCTATTCGGTCTCAAACCTGCTTCTTTTTTTCTTGGGACTTCTTAAGCATTGATGGTATCAAAGTTTAATTCAATGCTCCTGTTTCAAATTTTGACAAATCAGCAATCCATATTAAGCTAAGGTATCATTCTTTAAGTTCTTGAGACCTCAGCTTTGTGAAGTGGCATACTAGAGTTCCCTACTTTTCTATTGTGTGAAAGCGCTTGAAAGAGGTGAGAATGGTCTTTGCATCAGAGCAAATGCTAAATCAAAATGGAACCTCTTAACTTCTTGCTGCATGACTACCTGGGCAAGCTGTATGGTGTGTTATGAGTTAGCCTCCAAACAAGAAGCAACTAGTTTTAATATATCAAAACAACAGTGGAAGCAAAGTTTACAGGCATTTTTCAACAGTTGATTCTGTGATCAACTTAACTGGACGGAAGATTGTTCAGGACAGGTTCTTGCCCAGCCTCAAGGGAAGACTTCTGTGGAAGAACTCTTGAACCTACCTCATGTTTCATAATAGAGAATTGAAAAGGGTACCACTATTGCTCATGCTGCTGTAGGGGTTGAATAACAGTGGGCAGTCAGAGGATCTGGAGCTATTAGAAACTGGGAGAGTTTAAGCAGGGTCTATCTAGTCCAGATTTTTATTCTCAGTGATTTTTGTTTTGGAATTGAGAAAAGGAAGCAGGGAGCGGATTAGTGCCTTATTTTGGTGGCTAATTTTCTTGTTCCACGGTCTTCAAGCATCTACCTCAGATTGAAGGTAAAAAGTCGTGTGTAAAGAAAAGGCTGTGGTCTTTTCTTTCTAGAAGTCTCTCTGCATTTAGTCTGTCATGAGCATACAAACTCATGTAAATCTAGAACAGTCTTACTTGGAGTGCTACTTTTATGCTCAGAACTATTCATGGCCCTAGAGCATGTCTGGAAAAGCTTTACGCTTTTGCTCAGCTGAAAAAGACTTTAAGAATGTAACTATTCATGGTATGTTTGCAGCTAAAGAAAATGAGGTTTATGAGGAAATGCCAGCTTTTTGAATGATAAATTCTTGCTTTTAGTAACTTACCTTTGATGTTATTTATTGCTCTGGCTTTATTTTTACATTTTTTAGGAGTATTTCCCAAAGTGTTTTTTCTTTCCCTTGTTTTCGTTTCTGAAATGGTTTATATACTCTCTGTGTCACCCCTGTAAAGATGGTTGGTAGTACAGTTAAGTATCTCTGTTTTCCTGGAGTTTCAGTTCATTAGGGTTCTGCTACTCACTGTATTGAAGTGCAGTTAAGTCACTTCAGACTTTGATGTATTTCTTATATGAATGTTCATTATTTCATCACTCTTATATGCATAATTCTGATGTTCACGTTCTGCTGTTTTCCTTTCACTGACTTTCAAATACGTCACTTTGTCCATATCCTCATTTAAGGATACCACATTTGTGTTTGCTTTTTAGTTAAAACCCTGATCTGTTTCCCATTGTTTTCAATGCCAGTGTCCTCCTTCTTCCCGTTCTTTGATAGGAGAGCTGGAATATATCGTTACGGGTGTGTGGGAATCATAGAATAGAATCACAGAATCGCAAGGTTGGAAACGACCTGCAAGATCATCTAGTCCAAGCACCCTCCCATTCCCAGTACCACAAGCTACTAAACCATCCTCATCCAGGTGCCTCTTGAACACTGCCAGGGAAAGCAACTCCACCACCTCCCTGGGCAGCCATTCCAGTGCCTGACCACCCTCTGAGAGAAGAAGTTTCTCCTAATGTCCAGCCTAAACCTCCTCTGGTATAACTTCTTGCCATTTCCTCGGGTCCTACTATTTGCCTGGGAGAAGAGGCCAGAGCCTTTTTCACCACAGCCTCCCTTCAGGAAGTTGTAGAGTGCAGTGAGGTCTCCCCTGAGCCTCCTCTTCTCCAGACTGAACAATCCCAGCTCCCTCAGCCGCTCCTCATAAGACTTGTGCTCCAGACCCCTCACCAGTTTCGTTGCCCTTCTCTGGACACGTTCCAGGGCCTCAATGTCTTTCTTGTAGTGAGGGGCCCAAAACTGAACACAGTACTCGAGGTGCGGCCTCACCAGTGCTGAGCACAGGGGGATGATCACCTCCCTGCTCCTGCTGGCCACACTATTTCTAATGCAGGCCAGGATGCCATTGGCCCTCTTGGCCACCTGGGCACACTGTCGGCTCATGTTCAGCCGAGCATCAACCAACACCCCCAGGTCCTTCTCTTCTTCACACTCATCCAACCACTCATCCCCAAGCCTGTAACGCTGCATGGGATTATTGTGGCCAAAGTGCAGGACCTGGCACTTGGCCTTGTTAAACCTCATCCCATTCACCTTGGCCCAGCGATCCAGCTTATCTAGATCCCTCTGCAGGGCTTCCCTACCCTCAGGCAGATCGACACAACCTCCCAACTTGGTGTCATCTGCGAACTTACTCAGGGTACGCTCAATCCCTTCATCTAAGTCATCAATGAAGATATTAAAAAGAATGGCCCCAGCACCGACCCCTGAGGGGCACCACTTGAAAGAGGTCGCCAGCTAGACTTCACTCCACTGACCACCACCCGTTGAGCATGGCCCTCCAGCCAGTTCCTTATCCAATGGAGGGTAAAACAGTCCAAGCCACAGGCAGCCAGTTTCCGTAGAAGGATACTGTGAGAGACCATGTCAAAGGCTTTGCTGAAGTCTAGGTAGACTACATCAACAGCCTTTCCCTCATCTACCAGTCTGGTCACCCAGTCGTAGAAAGAGACTTTATTCAATGTTCAACTCCTCTGTTATTTCCCTGTTCTTCAGTTGGGAAGAGTGGTCAAAGTTTGTCAAAATGGCTGCACTTGATTCAAGTAGAGACCAACTGCTTAAGAATGCTTAATGTTGTAAAATCCTGGTTTGGCTAATCACTTTTCATTTCATTTTAATCCTAGAACTTTTGAATCCTCTTGGAAAGCGCAAAAACAAGAAACTGCTTTTAAATGTCTCTCATACAGCTGAACGTGTTCCAGGGAAAAGCTGTTTATTCTGCAAAATTCAGAAGTCTGCATTCTCTGGGGTTTTAAATAAGTGTAAAATGAAAATTGTTTAAAATTTAGCCTTCAGAATGAATATTGAAAGGTCAGATGACAAAGCGAAGAATGGCTTGAAGTCTTCCTTACTTATAAGGGATGAAAATGGAAATGACTACACATGTGACAAAGCTACGCTTCCTTCAAAGAATTGTGCTGCCAAGTTACATGGTGATTCAACTGACCAAAATATAGTGACTGAGAATGAAGGTGATGCTGTTCTTGAAGATAAGAGTGACTTTGGAAGTATTCTTTTAAAGCAGCAGTGTATTGAAGCATTTCATCTGCCAAGGGTGCCTGCTAAATACAACTGCCAAGGAGGAATTCTCTTAGGAGATAAAGATAATGTATGCAACTCTTCTCTGACTGAGCAGACTAGTGTATATCCTTTGAATTGTGACTTGAAAGAAACAACAAACTTCCTGAAAGGTAATGTGGCTGTGACAAAAATGCAAGCTCAAACTACTGAACAATCAATGCCTTACAGTCAGACTGAAGCAAACTGTGTGCTACCGCATCCTGCTTCAGAGCAGTGCACACAGTCCATGATAGAAAACAGGGTACACTGTCACCAGAGCACATTTGATGTTACTAACATTGTAAGTGGAACAGTGGAAACTGATCAAAATGATATGCATCTGGGGGAAATGCTAATCCCTTATGATGAAGGAGATAAGGAAGAGAAATTGGGTGCAGAAAAAACACCAAATTTGTCTTTTACGGTAGTGGCTTCAGGAAGCCTAGAGGCCTCTGCTGATTTTGAAGTATGTTATCCTGCCTCTGCAGGTGTTAAACTCGGTATAGAAAATACTAGTAACATTGACAGAGAACAATTGGAAACAGCAGCACAGTCTGAAAAACAAGCTGCTAGATGTATTAATCCTCATGAACAAGCTGAATTATCACCATACATCTTCACTTGTGAAGATCAGCAAGTAAAAGTCTTTCAGAATACTGCTGATTGTGATGAAACCAGGAATTCCGTTGGTCAGACATGTATGGATAGTCCTGGAAGTAACATGTACCTTCTACCAGTAGAAAACATTGGAAAGCAAGTATTGAAGAAAGCCAGTGAACCCTTAACCAAAGAACAAAGCGTCCCTGGAAATGCTGCTTTTCGGTATAAGCACAACACTCCTTTTGTGTCTGAAGTGCTACCTTGCAGTGTACCAAAACTAAAGAGAACAGTTAAACCGGAACTGAAATGTGAAGCGACTTTTTTGGTCTTCAGTCCTGTGGCTAGTGAAAGCGATACTGCTCTATTTACTTCAACTCCTAAAGAGCGAACAAAACCCATAACTTTTCCTGTTCCATCTGTGACAGAACTTGGAGACAAGTCTTCTAAACTAAGACCAAACAAGATGCTTGTAGGAGAGCATAACCGAAGGCCTTCACTTAAAACTAGTTCAGGTCAAATTGCGGGAAGAACAGTGGGCAGATCGCCTATTGTGTCATCAATAACCAAATCAAGGAAATGCGAGATTGTTAATTTTCCCAAACCTAATTTCAAAAACGTGAAGCCAAAGGTAATGTCTAGGCCTGTACTCCAGTCAAAAGAGAGCGAGCCCTTAAGACAGTCTCCTCAATCACCAAAAAAATCAACCACCTCCTCATCCTCACTAGTTGCTTCCCCCAGGCAACTGTCCCCTTCTGTAAAAGTGCTGAAAAAGAAAACAGATTTAGCTAAAGATATGAAAGTGGAACTGCCTGTGAATAAGCCCCATAAGCTGCATCTTAAGAAACACCTCTTTGCTAGCCAAGTAGTGCACGCCACAACACATCCTAGAACCGTTTCCCACAGGACTTCAAAGACACCTGCGCTGAAGCAGAATCTGGAAGACACTGGTGAAGTGAGTGCTACCAATTCAGTGTGCTCTTTGGCTGTTGCTGTGCTTCCAACGTGTGGAGAAGACTCAAAAGAGATGCTGAATGATGAGATGGACACTTCAGACTCCTTAGTGCAGCCCTGTGCTCAAAACATCTGTCCAAACAGAAGTGAAAAAGAGCAAAACTGCAACATGGGAATTCTGGAAGCGCCGCTGTTAAAAGATGTGGCAAATGAAACATTTGTCCTGCACTCAGTTCCTGTGGTAAGCTTTTTTCCTTGACTTAATTAAATATTTTGTGCACTTGAAGAACGGGGCTTCTGTACTGCACAGTGGAATGGGTTTTGGATGGCAACTGTGGAATGGGTTTTGTGTCTACAAAAGTAGTTGTAACATTGATTTCTGGGGTGCAGTCTCTTCCTACCAAAAGGAGAGAAAAATAAAAAAAAAAAAATTGCAAACTCTTTGAACTTCAGAGTAAGCAATTAGCACTTGACCTCAAGTGCTTTTTACTGTTGTCAACCTTCATCTTATTCTGTGGTTTAAATTTTTTTGCGAATCTTTTTTAAGTTCAATATAGTGAGGATTCTATTATTCTAACAGAAACACATGCATCTTAATACAGTCTAACTAGCAAAACTGTATATTGCCACTTGTTAAGATTTTGCAATCTGCTGTAGGGAACCATGCTTCAGCATGGGGGTTGGGCTTGATGATCTCTAAAGGTTCTTTCCAAGCACCACAATTCTGTGATTCTGTGATTTTTAAAAATGTAACTTTAATGTGCACATTATCAGTACAATTTTAGTGATACTGTAATTTTGAGTATTTTATCTTAAAGATGAACTTCTGTTTTCAATAATCTTTTTTCTTTCAAAACATAATTTAGTTCTAAAACATAGTTTTTAATTTTTTTTTCATAGAAATGTTAAACGTATCTTAACAAGTAAAGCAAAATTTTCAGACCAGCAATTTGGTGAAACACTTCTAACTTATTAGTTTAACTGTCTACTTTGAATAGTTTGTGAGTTCTTTTATTTGAAGTAAAAATGGAACTCATTAGAATAGTTAAGAGTAGCTAGGAATTATGCTTTATGCAGATGACACATACCTTTTTCTGGGAGGGTAAGCCAACTGGAAGGTACAAACTTCCTGGCTGGAAGGTATGCATGCATGATGGATTGGAAAAAATTGTTGGACTAGTCAGCTACCTGTCAGGAGAAACATGTTGCTTTCACATACGCTGAAAGAGGTTTCACAGAAAAGGAACAGTGGGAAAGAAGGAAAGAGCTTCAGGGCTGAGTAAATCTTAGTTTACTCAGTGAAATGGAGGCAGTGTACTTAATAATGAAGCCTGGAGTTGTCTGAATTTTTGTTAGTCTTCACTGCTTCGATAGGAAAAAAAGCTTCACTAAAACTCAGTATAAGGAATGTACTGTAGGTAGAATGGAAGCAGCTGTCCATTTCTGAAGCATTACAGAAGAAATTAATAACATGAACTTTCTAATTTTGAAGTATTTTAAAGTTTGTATGCTACATTACCCACTACTTTCAGAATCACAGATTGAAGAGAATGCTTTCAATTCAACCAGTTCAGAGATGGAAGCCTTTGCAATACTAATTATTCTGCTGAGACTCAGTAACTCCATAGAGCAAATAATCTAAAACGCTCAGTAATCAGCTAGATTGAACTTTGTACATTTTCTTCTGTAAGGTGCAGATTAATTTCTGAAAATGGGGATTGTAATCAAAAGTGGAAAGTGCATAGTATATCCAAATTATTGCTTATTGCATTGAATCACAAAAAAACTACAAGGACATCTGTATGTGCTCATAGGCTTACATCTGTAAGCATGGTTTTTCAGCATGAATAGTCATGAACAAGTGCATATATGAGCTAGAACAATAGTTCTGTATAAAAGATAAAGCGCTACCTATGAACTGGTTATTTTAAATCTGTCTCAGGTACATTCTTAAATTCCTCAGTGTGGGAAGGTTTACTTGTTTCTCTGCCACAGTTTAAGACCTGTGCAGGGAAACCTATGACAGTGGCTGTTACGTTTTGGGTAGACGTGATAAGCAACAACTTAGTTCATTAACGTAGCTAGCTGCTTGGTTTAAAGATTTTTAAAAAGTAATCTTGTTTGGGCACAGTCGTATTTAAACAGCTCAAATTAAAGCGTGGAGGGACAAGGAAAGAAGGAACTCTGACATAATCTCTGTCATTATTAGTGACTTTTTTTAAACTTCTAGTTTTGTGTTGCCAAAAGCAATGTAAGAGAGGGTTTTGAAGCTGTGAACTGCAGGTGGTATGACTGACTGCATCTTTGGAGGACCCTGTGACAGCAAGCAGCTAAATGTGTCACTTACCTGTATGGTCAGTATTTCATTACAGATGCCAGGAAGGGTACTCCTCAGCTTCTCACAGTCATGACCTATTGCTTTTTTATCATCTGTTTTAAAGCAGATGCCTTCTGTGAAAGGTGAACGAGAGAAAAATACACCAAAGAAAAGCCCAGTCACTCTACGAAATGCATCAGTGTCCAAGGTTAAAATGGTGCCATCTGTGTTTCCTTTGAGGAGGGGAAGTGAAAATAAAAACACTTGCACAATCAAAGCACCTTCTCAGAGAGGAACTGTTCTATCGTCAAGCTCTGGTAAGATGAATTTTGATTGGAATGCTACCACATAGAGTTTCTTTAAGTTAAGATACTGCATTTAATATACTTTCAGACAGAACTTATTTGATGGTACAGAGTTGTATTTTTGATACTAAATGTGAATTAATCAGAATTACAGGTCTTAAAAAAGTGGATTTTATCTAATCATATTTAAATCTCATCTTGTAAGGAAGGTGGTTATGAGGCAAAATGGTATCTAAACATTATTTATAGTTTGGTTATATAAAATACCTTTGTGGAAGTAAAACTGAAATTATTCAAAAGATGCGTAACTGAAAAGGAGAAAATGCAGAGCTCTAGTACAAAGCATTCATAATAAGCATCTATATAGTACTCCAAAGGGAGTGGGCCCTCAGTTCAGTATGTACCATATTTTCTCAACCTAATTTTGATATAGCTCTACAGTTTCTAGGAAGGATAAAACAAAATTAGAGACTGCTACTTCAGCTGCTAATTAAACTCAGAATGACTTATACTGAGAGGAAAAAAAAGGATCTCAAAAGTAGATTCTAGGCTGCTGTTCTGGTGTGTGCAAACTACATTCTGTAGTTGTATGGTAGATTCAGAAATACTCTTGTAAGTTGTGCTTTTTAAAAAACTAAATATGGAAGTATATCTAACTATGAAGGCAGCTTGGCTATAAATGACTACGCTACAAAACAGTGACTTCACTGTAGCTTGAAAGGTGTGCTTACTCCAGGACATGCAGTAAAATGGTCTTTTTTTTTTTTACCCACCCAATCCAAAGTTATACAACAGTTGAAAATTCTTCACTTAATTATATGAAAGTGGTGAATTGTGATTAAGATCTGTATGTATTGTTCTTTATGGGATGAGTCTCTCAAAGACAGTTATTCTGTTCTCTGATTTAGCTTTATGAAGCTATTACAGAAATACATGAAAGCATGGCTGGTTATAGATACAACTTCTAATTCTGAAAACACATCTGTTTTATTTTTTTTTAATGGAGGGACAGTAGTTTGCTGTTGGAATGAAATTCCTTTTCCCTACAAATTTCTTTTGCTGTCTCTCTTTAACTCATTATATTTTAGAACCGCTGAAGTCAGAGCACCTTCTGAATTTTTTGTGTTGGTAACCAGCTGCTTAAGATGAAAGCATAAAGCAGCACCACAACACTGAAAACCTTTGCATTATGATTGGATGAGACAAGAGCTTCAATGCTACTGCTGGGGAGAATTTTCTTTAATGCCTTGTCCTGTCCCCTTACCAATGCCCACAGTTCATAGTACATCTCACCCTTTATTTTGCTTATGCTACAAAGTAGATTTGATACATTAAACTTCATCAGGTTGACTTGCTCTATCTCTTGCCAAGGAAATTCTTAAATGTGTTCCCTTGCTCCCTGATAAACACAGTATTGTTGTGAATCAGATGATGGGAGCACTGGTGGTGGGAAATAAGAATAAGGAGAAGTGGGAGTTGCTTGGTTTTACTATAAAGGTCTCGTTGTTTTATCAGGCCATACCTTTCAGGTGCAGCCCTGTCCACAGATGTTTACCACATCTGTTTTTAAAGTTTCTGAGATAAAATTGTACAATCATTTACTGTGGCCAAGAGACAGCTTGTGAATTCCCCATTATTGTAGCTGAAGCTTAGCGTAGGGAATGATTTCTTTCAGTTTAAGTAATTTGAACAATTAATTATTAAACATGTACCTCACTGTGGTTCCAGCAGCACAGATAAGTATCTTGTTCAGTAGCTGTCATTGTTTCCTGTTAGGATTTCTCTACGTTATAGGCAGGCTAGCTAAATCCAGGATGGAAAGGACTTCAGGAGGTCATGTAATCCAGCCCACATTGCCCATAACTGTGTCAGCACTGAATTCAGACTTTGTCTGGTACTTGTCAATATGAGTCTTAACTGTCCGAATCCTAACAATCTGGTTGAACTAACTCTTAACCAGTTTTTGGGTATATTTGGGTAATAGGACAGGAATGCAAGAGAAACATGATGGTCTAGTATGTCATCACTTGTGTGCTGGGGGAGACAAGCAGTCTGCCTGTTCAGTATGTATTGACATGCATGTTCTCAGAGTAATAAAGAACTCATGAGCAATAGATTGTATCATTGTCATTTTGATAGGTAAACAGAAAACTCCCCTGCACCCAAGAAATAAAAGAAAAAATGCCCAGTGTGAGATGCCAATTAGATCACAACTTTGCAGGAGTTGAAATCTTGGTGTTTTGTTGTGTTTTTTTTTTCTCTTCTAAATAAAACTGACATTTTGGTTGTAGCACAGTACATCAATAAGGAGCATGTGTTCTAAGGAAATTCCTTGATCATTCTCCAAATAAAAGACAGCAGACAGCGTTTACAAAAGAAGAAGAAGAAAACTCATATTTTAAGCTTTATGTACTTTGAGGTTATTTGAAGAGCTCATTAAACTAGAAATAATATTTTCCTTTTTTCCCCCCCCCCAAAGCATACTACTGTTCACCAGTATTAGCTCATCTTGGCTGGATTTTGGAGTTTTTATGAATTAGCAATTGATTGTTTCTTTTTTAAGAGCTGAGTCCAACTTGATTCAGTGTGCAAAGGTGATTTGAGAAATTTAGAAATTCCATTTCTGCAACAGTGGTGACTTGCAAATCTAGAAAATTGAGTCACAGATGCAAGCTAGAGACCTCCTTTCCTCTGTAAGAGAGAATGACTTGTAATCTCATGCTTGTTCTTGGACAAAAATCATAATTCCCTGTAGATAACTTTTTCACAGTGGAACATGAAGACTTGCGTGATACTGGATGACAGATGAGCAGCATGCCTTTTTTTCTATTAATAAAAATACCTATCAGAATTTAAGACAGAGTAATGTGTTTGAGTCACCTGATCCTTACTGGAAGGTGTGTGTAATTCTGGAACCTTAGTTCAGGATTTTGTATCAGGCCAGAAATGAAAGCAACTGTTGTTTTTAACCCCAGCTAATATGTGCAGCCTTCTAATTGGATATAGATAAACACACTGGCATGGTAATATCTTGCTAATAGTTGAGGTAGTATGGTTTGGAAAGACTCAGGCCTTATTTTGACTTGAAGGGAGATGTGAGGGGAACTGAAGAAGCCAAGAAGCTTTGATTCTATAGAATGTTGCTCCAAATTCTTCTGCTGTCAGCTGCATCAGAAAATGCATGTGAAGCGCTATGACAGTCTGAACATCAAGAAATTGTTTTGGCTTTGAAAAGTATAAAACAGGAATACAAGAGATTTATTTTAGATATAAAAGATAAATGCCTACCACTGCATTTTTTTTCCTTGTACTGCTGACTACAAACTACCAGTAAGTTCATAAAGGAGGCAGAGCTTTAAATACACTTACAATTTCCAGTATGCTACTACTTTACCTATGCTTCTGCTTTAGCTGAAAGTTATGGTTTAATCTTTTTTTGTTGTTGTTGTTGTATGAAACTTCATGTTGTTGTTGATTTCTTAGTGATAGGAGCTGTGTCATATCTGACACATAATAGGCACTATTTGAAGACTTTTAAAGTATTTTTCTACTGCTTACTGTTAAAGACTTCCAGAAATTAATGAAAGCCATGTGAAATCATTTTCAGAATGAAAATGTCTTTTGCCTATGTTTCTAAAGTGTAGTTCATCTGACAGTTACTTCTGATGTTTTAGGTACCTTTTTTTATTTTTTCCATGATTCATGTCACTACCATCTGCTTTATTATCTTGATCTTTAGTTACTCCTGTGTGAATTTAAGCAAGTGGTATTCCCTCTTCCTCTCTTGCTAATATTTTCATGGCATTTAACTAGAGTAGTGAAAGCTTGGATTAAGGGAAGTTCAGCTGTTTGAATTCTATTTTCCTTGAGAATCTTGGATAGATGAACCCTTTTTTGTTAATCATCATGAAGGACTTCTCTGATGTGCTGCAACTGGTTGAACTGGGTTGTGGGAATAATTGTTCCTATCCTATAGCAAATACACATAACTTGCATTAAGCTACAAAAGATTTCAGTGATATTTTGAAATACTGATTTTGTTTGTTCATAATTACTAAATTCCTTCTGTTTTGTTTCTTTCCCCCCTCCCCCCTTCCCCCCCCCCTCAATCTTGCACTTAAAAGTGTTATTCAGGGAAGCTTCTGAAGTTAAAGCAGATTAAGACTGTTCATTATTGAGTGTTGTAGCTATTTATTTCACAAAGAAACACTTTGCAGATAGAAAATTGAAACCAAATGGTTTCAGTGGATTTTCATGCACCTTGGAAACATGTATATACCAAAAAGTCCAGAATTATCAAGTATATAGCCTTTCACAAAACTACTGAAGCAGAACCAAAACAACTTTGTTTCAGTAAGCATTCCCACAGTCTTAAGTTTTTGTGCTGACACTGAACCAGAAGATCAACCAAACATAGTAACTGCAAATCACTTTCCAGCTTTTATCATTCCTCCTATCTACCATCTGACTCTCCAAAGTTGTATTCATGTGCTGCCAAGAGGAAACAAAATATTTCAAAAAGCAAACACAACTTCCAGATTCTCTGGCCTGGGACTCCTGGGTCTTTATCAAAAAGCTGGACTGGGGAGTTAACCTGTAAAGATATCCATATACTTTCTCATGAACAAATCTGAAATGCACCAGTCTGCAAATAAGGTTTAAAATTTAATTTCAGCCACTATTTTTATGCGCTTTCCCCTGTCTCCCCCTGAAAATCCAGCCTCTTTTATGGATCTTCAGAGCAGGTTCTTCATAGAATAACTGGTTCAAGGTCATCATTTGTCCTTACACTCATGAGTCCATTATAATTGGTTCCTTCTCTCTTTAATACATGTGCAGTGCTTCATTAGACTAATTAAAGTCTGTGTTAAATGAACTTAAAACTCTCATATCTCTCTTTGGAAGTGTGGGAAGGAGGAAATTAATACATGGGTTTCTGTGAGGGTAGATGTGTCCATAGCATGACACAGAGCTTGCTTCAGTCTGTCCTCAGTGTTATCCGGACAGAACCT